AGTTGGTACTGTATTTTAAAAAATACAATCTGAGCTGTGCGTAGTTCTGCCTGCCTTTGAGTTCCTTATGTGCTGGCTCTTCTTAGCCTAATTTTTGTTTTTCGGCAGGAAGTGAAAGTTTATCCGATAGGCCTATATTTCGGTCATTTCACCCACTTCTGAATTTTCTACCCCTCTAATTCCCTTCGATTCGCGAGGTAATATTGTCAGGTGGTTCTTTCAAAGTTTCTGGTCATCCGCTAAATAGGTAAGCTCCACGGGTGGTATTTCAAGAGTCGCGTTATCATAGCTCTATTTCTATACATCAGATCCACATCTTAAAAAGGGCCTTCAGTCAAGACTTAATGAAACTAGCTGGACATGTTATAATTTTTTATCGAATTAAATCAATAGAAAATTTAGCTTTAATTTAACGTGACGAGAATAATTGTCCTTCCCTAGCGTTTTTTGACTTTCAGCCAGTTATGGCCTTAAAAGTATGATATGAAGTATTCCGTAGCTGTGTGGGTTCTTCATATACACAGTTAAAATGAGCTTTATTTTACACAGATCAAAACACACTGTTCCTCTGTGTTTAGAATAAAGCTCTTTTATAGCGGTCAATATGATTTTCTCTGAGACAGGCCTTTTCGATCAAATTCGTTCCTCATAGTTCGAAGTTCAGGCATATATAGCGATCTATGCAAAGATATCTTTTTGTCTTAAATGCAATCGTCTTCCAGTTCGCCGGTCTCTACTATGCCGTTATACCATTTGACGAGGCCTTATAGTGGCTGTACAGTTTTGAAACGAATCTCTGCCGCCGCCTTCCTTACAGAGACTCAGAAACTCACCACACAAGAGATGGACGAATCGGCTTGCTCAGAGCCACCGGTTATGGATCGATTTAAAGACTCATTACAAGAGGCAGTCATTCGTTAGCTCATTAGCGATAATCCTGAACACGCGAGAGTGATGAAGATTTTCGTACATTTGCGAACTTTTTGTTGATTCCAAGCCTCGAAGGTTCTGTCCACAAGTAGTTTTTCAAATGCTGTGGTTCTCCGTTAATTAGGTAATTTAACTCGACTGGATTCCAAGGCGCAACTTCAGGTGTTCAGTATACTCGAACTGTCTGGTCTTCTCCCTTCGGTCGTCTTCCACATGGCCTTGCTAAGAGAGCCCTTGCTAGTCCTTCTTGTAACATCTATATCACATGCCGAGGCCGCCGGAATTTTATTCACTAGATCTGGTGAAAGAGCAACTCACAAGCAGAGCTGAACTTTTTCACGTTTAAGGTCCTAGTATCTGCAGCGGTTCTCTTGTGTTGCTGTCTTTTGGCCAATGTCTAGCGCTTACGGCCAGATGGTGAGATGCTGACAGGCTTGATGACAGAAAACTTCATATATGTCGATGGCTGGTACCTCCAGGACAGGGAAATAATAGGGTCATTAAGGATCATATTTTCAGCCGTTCTTCAGGC